CCTTTATAGGTCAAGTCTTATGTGCTAGTATGCAACACATTAATCTGTTGTCTTGTAGGGGGATTTTTTTTTAAATCAAATTTTACTACCACTTTAACTCCATGATCTGTGACCCCCCCCCCCACACACACACCCCCCCCCCCCCATGTGCCAACAGACCCTCCAGAGCTCAGGTACAAAGAGATAATATATATATATAACATACACTATATTGGCCAAAAGTATTGGGTCTCCTGCCTTTCCTTTGACCTGTAATGGCCCCCCAGTCTTAGTCCGTAGGGTTCAATATTGAGTTGGCCCCGCCCTTTGCAGCTATAACAGCTTCAACTCTTCTGGGAAGGCCGTCCACAAGGTTTAGGAGGGTGTCTATGGGAAGGTTGGACCATTCTTCCAGAAGCACATTTGTCAGGTCAGGCACTGATGTCGGGGGAGGGGGCCTGGCTCGCAGTCTCCGCTATAATTCATCCCAAAGGTGTTCTATGGGGTTGAGGTCAGGACTCTGTGCAGGACAGTCAAGTTCCTCCACCCCAAACTGGCTCCTCCATGTCTTTATGGACCTTGCTTTGTGCACTGGTGTGCAGTCATGTTGGAACAGGAAGGGGCCATCCCCAAACTCTTCCACAAAGTTGGAAGCATGAAATTGTCCAAAATGTCACCTTAAGAGTTCCCTTCACTGGAACTAGGGGGCCAAGCCCAACCCCTGAAAAACAACCCCACACCATAATCCCCCCTCCACCAAACTTTACACTTGGCACAATGCAGTCAGGCAAGTACTGTTCTCCTGGCAACCGCCAAACACAGACATGTCCATCGGGTTGCCAGACAGAGAAGCGTGATTGGTCACTCCAGAGAACACGTCTCCATGCTGTAGAGTCCAGTGGCGGCGTGCTTTACACCACGGCATCCGACACTTTGCATTGCACTTGGTGATGGAAGGCTTGGATGCAGCTGCTCGGGCATGGAAACCCATTCCATGAAGCTCTCTATGCACTGTTGTTGGGCTCATCTGAAGGTCACACCAAGTTTGGAGGTCTTTAGCTATTGACTCTGCAGACAGTTGGTGACTTCTGCGCACTGTGCGCTTCAGCATACGTTGACCCCGCCCTGTCATGTGACGTGGCCTACCACTTGGTGGCTGAGTGGTTGTTCCCAGTTGCTTCCACTTTGTTATAATCCCACTAACAGTTGAGCGTGGAATATTTAGTAGCCAGGAAATGTCACGGATGGACTTATTGCACAGGTGGCCACCTATCACGGGACCACGCTTGGAGTCACTGAGCTCCTGAGAGCGACCCATTCTTTCACCAATGTTTGTAGAAGCAGTCTGCATGCCTAGGGGCGTGATTGTATACACCTGTGTCCATGGAGGGGATTGGAGCACCTGAATCACATGATATGGAGGGGATTGGAACACCTGAATCACATGATTTGGAGGGCGGGGCCAATATTTTTGACAATATAGTGCATCTTCACAACTGCTTTGTGCATCCAGGTGGACCATACCTTGTTTTTTTTTTTTTTTTTTTTTTTGACAAATTACGCTTTCATTTGGTGGTAATTGGTAATGGATATCGCCTGATATTGTTTATTAGGAAATTTAGCCCAAAATAGTAAAAAAAAAAAAAAAAAATATCAATTTTAGTTGTGTATTTCTTGCTTCGACCATAACCTACCACCCAAGAGACCCTAAAAATTCTTCTGCCCCTGACAATCACATGTGTATGTTGTTGTTTGCACCCGTAGTACGGCCCATAAACACAACTCGAGTAAGTGACCAGACGGCAGTGAAGGGGTTACTTTTGTGAAAAAATGTAAGGGGGGCGGTAAAGGGACTTTTATGACGGCAATGGAAAGGGTTCTCTTTACAGGAAGACTTAGAATTCAACTTTTCTCCATGCTCAGTCTGACTCGGGGGTCGTGGAGGCACAATGGGTGGTGCGCTCGGCTCCCGATCATTGTGCTGTGAGATCCCAGTTTGGGGGCGTCTGTGTGCCTCAGACTCTCGGGTACCCCGATCGCCCCCGGTGTAGCATGAAGATGTGTATGGGGAGACCATGTATCCCTGCACTGCGCATGCGCCGGAATCGCAGAGGGGAAATAGCCGAGCTGGTAACTCCTCACATGCCGGACTACAACACAGGAGGGTCATCATACACGGGGGTACACTATTTTACAGCGGCTGTAGCATGAAGAGGGGGGAGGGGGGGGTCTGTCAGTGGGGGTTGGGGGAGTATTTGGGGGTGGGATTTGGGGGAGGGAGGGTGTGGTTTTCCAATGAGGGGAGGGGAAGGTATTTGGATGGTTGGGAGTGTCAATGGAGGGAGGGAGTGTAGTAGTATTTGGCGGGGATGGGGGGGCTGTCAGTGGGGGGGGTGGTATTTGGGGGGTTTGTCAATAAGGGGGAGTGTGTGGTATTTGGGGGTCTTTCAGTAGGGGGAGGGTGTGTGTATTTGTTGGAGATGGGGGTCTGTCAGTGGAGGGATGGTGTAATATTTGGGGGGGTCTGTGGGCGAGGCATGGATTGGTAGGGGGGGTCTATCAGTGGGGGAGGGGCTCAGTAGTTGAGGGGTAGTGGTCTATCGGTGGGGGCAGTAGTTGGGGGTGTGGGTGTGTGTCAGTGGGGGAAGACGGCAGTAGTTGGGGGGCGGTGGCCTCTCAGAGGGAGGAGTTGTATCTCAGTGGGGGTAGGGGTGGGTATTTGGTGGGGTTGGGATGAAGGGTAGTAGTTGGGGGGGTGGAAGTGGGAGGGGCGGTATGTCACTGGTGGGTTGGGTATGGGCTGGTCTGTTGGAGGGGTAGAGGTCAGTAGTTGGGAGGGTGAGGATGTATCAGGGGGGTAGTTGGGGGTCTATCAGCGGGAAGCGGGACAATAGTAGTGGAAGGGGTCCATCAGTGGGACAGGGATTGGCAGTTGAGGGGTGGAGGTCAGTAGTTGGGAGGGTGAGCATGTGTTGGGGGTCTGTCAGTGGGGAGCAGGAGGATAGTAGTGGAGGGGGCCAGTCAGTGGGGCAGGGATCGGCAGTTGGAGGTCAGTAGTTGGGAGGGTGAGCATGTGTTGGGGGTAGTTAGGGGTCTGTCAGCGGGGAGCGGGAGGAGGATAGTAGTGGAGGGGGTCCATCAGTGGGGCAGGGATTGGCAGTTGGAGGGGTGGATGTCAGTAGTTGGGAGGGTGAGGATGTATCGTGGGTAGTTAGGGGTCTGTCAGCAGGGAGCGGGAGGATAGTAGTGGAGGGGGTCCATCAGTGGGGCAGGGATTGGAGGGTGGAGGTCTATTAGTGGCACCCCCACTTACAGGCTCCCAACCTCCCAAATCCCCTTCCCCATTGACCCTCAAGCCTCCCCATCTTCATGCTACGCCCCCCTGTATCCCTGGAAATCCTGCCCCCGCTGGGCTGTTGCGGAGAATCATGAAGCTGTGTACGGACCATGGTTACCGCAAATCGGGAGTGGACCTGCTCGGTGGTCACGGTGTAGCAGGAAGATCTACAGCTCGGCACTTGGCTTGTTTGGCCTGAATTCGGCGCATGTGCAGTTGCTGCAGGGATACATGGTCTCCCCATACACACCTTCATGCTACACCGGCCACTGGGGTTAATGGGGGTGCTTGAGGCACACAGACGCCCCGAAATTGGGATCTCACAGCACAATGATCGGGAGCTGAGCGCACCACCCATTGCACCTCCAAATGCCAAACATGTGATCTCCAGTTGTCTTACATTAACCACCTTCCGTCCGCCCTATAGTCCAATGACGGGCGCAAGGTGGTTCTCTCGTTCTGATAGGACATCATATGACGTCCTACCAGACTCACTGCGCATGCGTGGCTCAGGGAGCGCGTAGCGCAGCGATTGCTGGTGCGCTGTGTCCCTCGGACACAGCGGATCACGGAAAGAGCCTAAGATGTCGGCTCGGTCATGTGATCAGCTGTGTCCAATCACAGCTGATCACATGTAAACACGGAAATGCCGGTTATCGGCATTTCTCTCCTCTCGAGCTGTCACGCTGACAGAGGAGAGGAGAGCCGGTAGCCGGCTTTCCGCAGAGGGGACATCTACACTGGTCATCAGGGCTCTGATCATCCGAGCACTGATTAGTGTGCCCTGATGATCATTGTGGCCCCAGAAGTACCACCTGTCAGTGTCCATCAGTGCCACATCAACCACATGTCAGTGCATACCAGTGCACATCAATGCCACATATCAGTGCCCATCTGAGCTGCCTTTAAGTGTCACCCATCAGTGCCAGTCAGTGCTGCCTATCAGTGCCGCATATCAGTGTCATGTATCAGTGCTGCCTTTCAGTGCCCATCAGTGATGCCTACCGGTGCCCATCAGTGATGCCTGTCAATGCCCATCAGTGCCGCCTACCAGTGCCTCCTCATCAGTGCCACCTATCAGTGCCCATCACTGCAGCCTCATTAGCGCACATTAATGAAGGAGAAAAATCACTTATTTACAACATTTGTATAACAAAAACTAAGAAACATTTTTTTTTTTTCAAAATTTTCAGTGGTTTTTGGTTCATTTAAGTAAAAATAAAAATCATCGGAGATTACCACCAAAATAAAGCTTTATCTGTCTCAAAAAAAGATAAAACATTCATATGGGTACAGTGTTGCATGACCGCACAATTGTCATTCAAAGTGTGATAGCGCTGAAAGCTGGAAATTGGCCTGGGGGCAGGAAGGGGGTAGAAGTGCCCTGTAGGCGAGGGGTTAAAGAGGATTTACCTTCAAAAAACGTGCATTTATTTATTTTTTTTTTAAAAGATGGACTTCCCCTTTTAAAAAAAAAAAAAAAAAAAAAAAAAAAATTGTAGTGGAGGTCACATGTTTCCTGTCCAGAGTGGAGCTCCGGCTGAGTCCTCCCACAGAGCAGTGTGACCTCTAGTGCCTGTTGGAGGAATTCCTGTGTGTCCTATGCAGTTATGATGTATTTGGTCTCACGCAAAATGGCCGCCAGCCGAAGCCTCAGCTAAACCGACTTTGTCCTCTAGTGTTTGGGGGAGACGCGACAGGAAGTGGTGTTGTGTGGACCGTTGAGGAGAGGTGAGGATCGGGGAGGGATACATGGAGGAAATGATCAATAATACAGGTTATAGGGGATCAATAATCAATGATGTGAGAGGGGAAACATGGCAGGGTGGGGAAGGGGAGGACAGAGATTTATAGAAGTGCCAACAGTCTGTACCAGAGGAGCTGACGCACTAATGCCCCCTCCCCCACAGTCACATCAGTCTCTGCACCAGAGGAGCTGACGCTCTAATGCCCCCTCCCCCGCAGTCCCATCAGTCTCCGCACCAGAGGAGCTTACGCTCTAATGTCCCCTCCCCCTGCAGTCACATCAGTCTCTGCACCAGAGGAGCTGACGCTCTAATGCCCCCTCCCCCGCAGTCACATCAGTCTCCGCACCAGAGGAGCTGACGCTCTAATGCCCCCTCCCCCGCAGTCGCATCAGTCTCTGTACAGAGGAGCTGACGCACTAATGCCCCCCCCGCCGCCCCCGCAGTCGCATCAGTCTCTGCACCAGAGGAGCTGACGCTCTAATGCCCCCTCCCCCGCAGTCGCATCAGTCTCTGCACCAGAGGAGCTGACGCTCTAATGTCCCTCTCCCCCCACAGTCACATCAGTCTCTGTACCGGAGGAGCTTACGCTCTAATGTCCCCTCCCCCACAGTCACATCAGTCTCCGCACCAGAGGAGCTTACGCTCTAATGCCCCCTCCCCCGCAGTCACATCAGTCTCTGTACAGAGGAGCTTACGCTCTAATGTCCCCTCCCCCACAGTCACATCAGTCTCTGTACCAGAGGAGCTGACGCTCTAATGCCCCCTCCCCCGCAGTCGCATCAGTCTCTGTACCAGAGGAGCTGACGCTCTAATGCCCCCTCCCCCGCAGTCGCATCAGTCTCTGCACCAGAGGAGCTGACGCTCTAATGTCCCCTCCCCCCACAGTCACATCAGTCTCTGTACCGGAGGAGCTTACGCTCTAATGTCCCCTCCCCCACAGTCACATCAGTCTCCGCACCAGAGGAGCTGACGCTCTAATGCCCCCTCCCCCGCAGTCACATCAGTCTCTGTACAGAGGAGCTTACGCTCTAATGCCCCCTCCCCCGCAGTCACATCAGTCTCTGCACCAGAGGAGCTGACGCTCTAATGCCCCCTCCCCCGCAGTCACATCAGTCTCTGTACAGAGGAGCTTACGCTCTAATGTCCCCTCCCCCACAGTCACATCAGTCTCTGTACCGGAGGAGCTTACGCTCTAATGTCCCCTCCCCCACAGTCACATCAGTCTCCGCACCAGAGGAGCTTACGCTCTAATGCCCCCTCCCCCGCAGTCACATCAGTCTCTGTACAGAGGAGCTTACGCTCTAATGCCCCCCTCCCCCGCAGTCACATCAGTCTCTGTACCAGAGGAGCTTACGCTCTAATGTCCCCTCCCCCGCAGTCACATCAGTCTCTGTACCAGAGGAGCTTAATGTCCCCTCCCCCGCGGGGTGCGTCCCATCAGTCTCTGTACAGAGGAGCTTACACTCCAATGTCCCCTCCCCCCGCAGTCACATTACGCTCTGTGCCAGAGGAGGAGCTGACGCTCTTAATGCCCCCTCCCCCACAGTCACATCAGGTGATGCTATAGCAGCTCCTCCGGGTGATCGGTGTGGAGTTCCCCACAAATATTGGTTGTGGAATTATCGGCTCAGTCCGGTGTGTGCGGTCATATGTGACGTGTAGAGAGATGTTTTTATATGTGCACATGGGAGGGCTAAAAGGGGGTGAGGGGGAAGTGCTTGGGTGTAACCATGTTGTTTTAACAACTTTCTTTTACTGAACTTTTCCTATCACCCAGGGGAGCAGAAGTCCTCCAATGTGCAGTGTGGGGTCTGTGGGGGGACTATTGATGCTGATGGCGTACAGATAGCACTTCCTCTCTTCTGTAGTGGCCAGGGAAGGTGACAGCAGAACCCGTGAAGCATGGCGGGGGGGGGGGGGGTAAAAGGAGGGTCGTCTGACCAAAGGGTCAGTGACTTTTATTGCGGTTTTGTCACCTCAGATTAGGCCCTGTGCCTAATTTATGACAGACTTGTTCCAGATTCAGGTCCTTTTTAGGATCTTAAGCTGGCTATAGATGGGGTGAAATTTGGCTGAACCGGATGGACCGGATTTTGGTCCATCTAGAGCACAGGTGTCAAACTGGCTGCCTCCTTATGTATTCTACATGGTGATCATATCCCCCCTTATGTATTATACATGGAGATCATATCCCCCCCTTATGTATTATACATGGAGATCATATCCCCCCTTATGTATTATACATGGAGATCATATCCCCCTTATGTATTATACATGGTGATCATATCCCCCTTATGTATTATACATGGAGATCATATCCCCCCTTATGTATTATACATGGTGATCACATCCCCCCCTTATGTATTATACATGGTGATCACATCCCCCCCCCCCCATTATGTATTATACATGGAGATCACATCCCCCCTTATGTATTATACATGGAGATCATATCCCCCTTATGTATTATACATGGAGATCATATCCCCCCCTTATGTATTATACATGGAGATCATATCCCCCCTATGTATTATACATGGTGATCATATCCCCCCTTATGTATTATACATGGAGATCATACCCCCCTTATGTATTATACATGGAGATCATACCCCCCTTATGTATTATATACATGGAGATCATATCCCCCCTTATGTATTATAACATGGAGATCATATCCCCCCCTTATGTATTATACATGGAGATCATATCCCCCCCTTATGTATTATACATGGAGATCATATCCCCCCTTATGTATTATACATGGAGATCATATCCCCCCTTATGTATTATACATGGAGATCATATCCCCCTTATGTATTATACATGGAGATCATATCCCCCCCCTTATGTATTATACATGGAGATCATATCCCCCCCCCTTAAGTATTATATACCCCCCTGGTAGATCATATCCCCCCTTATGTATTATACATGGAGATCATATCCCCCCCTTATGTATTATACATGGAGATCATATCCCCCCTTATGTATTCTACATGGTGATCATATCCCCCCTTATGTATTATACATGGAGATCATATCCCCCCTTATGTATTATACATGGAGATCATATCCCCCCTTATGTATTATACATGGAGATCATATCCCCCTTATGTATTATACATGGAGATCATATCCCCCCTTATGTATTATACATGGTGATCACATCCCCCCTTATGTATTATACATGGTGATCACATCCCCCCTTATGTATTATACATGGGAGATCACATCCCCCCTTATGTATTATACATGGAGATCATATCCCCCCTTATGTATTATACATGGAGATCATATCCCCCCTTATGTATTATACATGGAGATCATATCCCCCTTATGTATTATACATGGAGATCATATACCCCCCCTTATGTATTATACATGGAGATCATATCCCCCCTATGTATTTATACATGGAGATCATATCCCCCTATGTATTATACATGGAGATCATACCCCCCTTATGTATTATACATGGAGATCATATCCCCCCCTTATGTATTATACATGGAGATCATATCCCCCCTTATGTATTATACATGGAGATCATATCCCCCCCTTATGTATTATACATGGAGATCATATCCCCCCCTTATGTATTATACATGGAGATCATATCCCCCCTTATGTATTATACATGGAGATCATATCCCCCCTTATGTATTATACATGGAGATCATATCCCCCCCCCTTATGTATTATACATGGAGATCATATCCCCCCTTATGTATTATACATGGAGATCATATCCCCCCCTTATGTATTATACATGGAGATCACACTGGAGATCATATCCCCCCCTTATGTATTATACATGGAGATCATATCCCCCCTTATGTATTATACATGGAGATCATATCCCCCCTTATGTATTATACATGGAGATCATATCCCCCCCTTATGTATTATACATGGAGATCATATCCCCCCCCTTATGTATTATACATGGAGATCATATCCCCCCCTTATGTATTATACATGGAGATCATATCCCCCCTTATGTATTATAACATGGAGATCATATCCCCCCTTATGTATTATACATGGAGATCATATCCCCCCCCCCTTATGTATTATACATGGAGATCATATCCCCCCCCTTATGTATTATACATGGAGATCATATCCCCCCTTATGTATTATACATGGAGATCATATCCCCCCCTTATGTATTATACATGGAGATCATATCCCCCCCTTATGTATTATACATGGAGATCATATCCCCCTTATGTATTATACATGGAGATCATATCCCCCCTTATGTATTATACATGGAGATCATATCCCCCCCCTTATGTATTATACATGGAGATCATAATCCCCCCCCATAATATGTATTATACATGGAGATCATATCCCCCTTATGTATTATACATGGAGATCATATCCCCCCTTATGTATTATACATGGAGATCATATCCCCCCTTATGTATTATCTACATGGAGATCATATCCCCCTTATGTATTATACATGGAGATCATATCCCCCTGTAGGGACGTTATTCCCGGCACAGTTTGGTGTCATCTGCAGAGACTGAAATGGGATTTATAATCTCACACCCCATATTGTTTATAAATAGATTAAAAAGTAAGGGTCCCAACACTGAGCCTTGGGGTACACCACTAATACTGAACCTTGGGGTACATTACTAATACTGAACCTTGGGGTCCCCCACTAATAACACTGAACCTTGGGGTCCCCCGCTAATAACGCTGAACCTTGGGTCCCCCGCTAATAACGCTGAACCTTGGGGTCCCCCGCTAATAACGCTGAACCTTGGGGTCCCCCGCTAATAACGCTGAACCTTGGGGTCCCCCCTAATAACGCTGAACCTTGGGGTCCCCCACTAATAACGCTGAACTCTGGGGTCCCCCACTAATAACACAACCTTGGGGTCCCCCACTGATGACCCCAGACCATTCAGAGTATGAATCATTAACCACTGCTCTCTGAATACGATCTTTTATTCAGTTTTT